CTTGCATGTAGAACCATTATTACTTGCAATATAGAACCAATACTACTTGTGATGTAGAACCAATACTACTTGTGATGTAGAACCAATAAGAAAAAAAATTAAAGCAGAAGAATTAGCCAAAATGATATCAAATATAACTTCAACAACAGTAAGAAATAAAGGACTAACTAGTCATCCTCTCAAGAAGTTTTGACTTGTATTAAACGAGAAATGGTAGTACTTGAAAGCACTGGAAAAAGACCGAACTCCTTTGAAAAAGTTTATAACGCCATGCTTAGTCTTCCACCACCTTCTGTAGAAGCAGAAAGAAGTTTTAGTGCTGCAGATTTATTTATCATAACTAGTTTAAATGATGAAACTGTTAATAACGTTAATAATGTTTTTTAAGATGAAAAATAAAATCATAAGAAGTTGAATTTACTTATTTTTAAACTGTAAGAAATTAATTAAAATTAATTAATTAAAAATACTATTTAATCTACCACCCCAATCCCTGCCCAAACCAAAACCCTCAGTCGATGTAGCAATACTCCTTGTATGTTCTACCAATTGTTCAGTCAATGTATTAAAATGGTAAAAAAATAAAAACAAAAACATTAAGAATGTTTTTATTTTTATTAAAAAAATATCATCTATAAAGTTGTGCTTTTGTGGTTTTTAAACAACTATCAAACTTTATTAATTTCCTCAATTTAATGGTTTTTACACAAAGTGTACATAATTTTGACACTTTGAAACACAAAAAGCTGTATATAGCCATTTTTTACCACAAATGGTAAATTTAGATGTCAAAGTATAAGAATAAATATATATATATATATATATATATATATATATATATATAACTATGAATGTGTGTTTAGATCTCTGACGTCATGCTGAAACAGCCTGTTGCCAGGGGTTTCAGCACATATATTAACTATCTTATAGCCTGCTGCCACAAAGGAGTGGCAGCAGGCTATAAGATAGTTAATATATGTATTAACTATCTTATAGCCTGTTTTCATTATTCTTCATTTTATTTTTTTGTATTATATATATATATATATATATATATATATATATATATATATATATATATATATATATATATATATATATATATATCTTAATTATATACTCTTAATTATATACTTTTAATTATATACTCTTAATTATATACACTCTTAATTATATACAGGCCGACTCTAACCACCCTACATGCATATTAAAAAGTCTACCGCGAACAATTGAACTAAGATTGTCTACTGCATTTTCAAACAAAGAAATTTTTGAAAAAGCTGTTTCTCCTTATCAGTATGCATTAATAAAATCAGGTTTCTCATCCAACCTCAAATATCAGTCAGATATAGTACTCATTCAAACAAAAATCACAAACGGAACATTATTTGGTATAATCTCCTAATCTCTAATCTATCTAATCTATAATCTATAATCTCCTGTTGCAACAAAAATAGGCAATCTTTTTTTAAAAATAATTGATGCAAGTTTTCTTGTTGGTCATTGATTACACAAGATTTTTAACAGAAACACCATTAAAATTAGCTTCTCGTGTATGCCGAATGTTAAATCAGCCATTAATTTGCATAATCAAAATATATTATACAATCATAAAAAAAAACAGCATATATATATATATATATATATATATATATATATATATATATATATATATATATATATATATATATATATATATATATATATATATATATATATATATATATAAAACCACAGTCAAAAAACCACAGTCATCACCAAGTTCGCTAAACCTTTCATTCACCAATATTCGTGGTCTTCGAAGTAACTTTTCTTCTGTTGAGTCTTATCTCATGCAAAGTTCACCAGACCTGCTTGCTCTTTGTGAGACTAAATTGAGTTCAGCTGTCTCATCTTGTGATCTTAGCCTTGATGGTTATCTTCCTTTAATTCGTAAAGACTCCAATAGTCACATGCTTGGCCTGGGCATTTACATTCGTAAGAATTCACCCATTTGTCGGGAAACTAGGTTTGAATCCACAGACTACTCTTTTATGTGCTTTCGTTTAGCACCACTTCACTCTATCACCTTTCTCTTTGTTCTATATCGCTCTCCCTCATCCCAAGACTGCACTCTTCTTGATGTTATTTCTGATTATATTGACCAAGCCCTCATTCTTTATCCATCAGCCAATATTGTTGTTGTCGGTGACTTTAATGTTCATCACACTGAATGGCTTGGCTCTAGTGTCAGTGACTCTGCAGGCATTAAGGCCCACAACTTTTGTCTTTCTCAATCCCTAACTCAAATAGTCAACTTTCCAACTCGCTTTCCAGACAACCTGAATCATTTACCTTCTCTACTCGACTTATGTCTTGTTTCTGATCCTAGTCAGTGCTCAGTTTCTTCGCATTCACCCTTAGGTGCGTCTGATCATGGTTTGGTCTCTCTAAAACTATCTCATTCTTCTTCACCATTAGAATCCCCCTATCATCGTACATCTTACAACTACCTTAAAGCTGACTGGGACTCTTTTCGTGACTTTCTTCGTGATGGCCCCTGGGTAGAAATCTTTCGTCTCCCTGTTGACAAATGTGCTTCTTACATAACTTCGTGGATTCAGGCTGGCATGGAATCCTTTATTCCCTCTCGACGATTCCAGGTCAAGCCTCACTCTTCTCCATGGTTTTCTTCACATTGTGCTGCTGCAATTACCAATCGAAACCATTACTTTCATATCTATCAGCAAAACAATTCTCCAGAAAACAGACGTCTCTTTATTACTGCTAGGAACCATTGTAAAAAGGTTTTGTCTAATTTACATTAACGATCTTACAGATATTTTCACATCTAAGGTGGCATTGTTCGCTGATGATACTACCATTTATTCTTGTCACGATAAGAAGCCAACTCCCTCTGATTGCTTGCAGGGGGCATCTGAGCTCGAAAAGGATCTCACTTCTGCTACAGCATGGGGCTCGCAGTGGCTGGTGAACTTTAATTCAGATAAAACTCAATTTTTTTCGGCCAATTGTTACCGCAATAATTTAGACCTTCCTATATTTATGAACGGTAATGTACTCGATGAGTCTCCTACCCTTCATCTTCTAGGATTAACTCTTACTTCTGATCTTTCTTGGAAACCTTATATCAAATCTGTTGCAAAATTAGCATCTGCTAAAGTTGCTTCTCTTTATCGAGCTCGTCACTTTCTTACTCTAGATTCTATTCTCTATCTCTATAAATCTCAAATCCGGCCTTGTATGGAATACTGTTGCCATATCTGGTGCGGATCTTCTAATGATGCCCTTTCTCTTTTAGACAAGGTGCAAAAACGCATTGTAAACATAGTTGGACCTGCTCTTGCAGCCAACCTTCAACCTCTGTCACATCGTCGTAATGTTGCTTCTCTTTCTCTTTTCTACAAATACTATAATAGGCACTGCTCTAAAGAGCTAGCGTCTCTTGTGCCATCTACTAAAATTCATTCTCGTGTTACTCGTCATTCAATTAAGTCTCATCCTTTTTCTGTTACTGTTCCTAAGTGCTCCAAAAACTCTTATTCGTCTAGTTTTTTTCCTCGAACATCAGTTCTTTGGAATTCGCTTCCTTCATCTTGCTTTCCTGATTCATATAATTTGCAATATTTTAAGTCGTCTGTCAATCGTTATCTTGCTCTACAATCTTCATCTTTTCTTTTCCAGTAACTTCCAACACTAATAAGTGGTTGCTTGCAACCTTGTTGGAAGCGAAGATAATTAAAAAAAAAAAAAAAAAAATATATATATATATATATATATATATATATAGATAAGTACAAATACGAAATTATCTAAAGAAATATGGAACTTAAGGAAAAAAAAACTTTTCGTTTGTTACTAAGTGGAAAATTATCAAGCGCTCCCAAACATATCCTTCACCCAAAATTTGCAACCTTTGTCTTAATGAAAAGTATTATATTTTAATGTATACATATATATATATATATATATATATATATATATATATATATATATATATATATATATATATATATATATATATATATATATATATATATATATATTGCTCTACTTAGAAAGTTGTTTACTTTCTTTATTATTGAGCGCTCTTAACCAAAATAGAGTTTTGTATTATTATTGTAATACACATTAAACATCAATCGATGTTTAATGTGTATTACAATAAAAAAAAAAAAAAAAGTTAATGTATTTCAAAAGATAAACAAAATTTTGTTTAAAAAAAAAAGTTTTAAAAAGCCGTTACAATTTAATAAGTTTGATCTTAAATGCTTTTATATTATCAAGACACTTTTTAATGAAGTAAAAAAAAAACACTTTTAATTAATTTTAAAAAAAACTATTAATAAAATGTTTGTTTTTTTTAATATATATAATTTTGTATTATTATTTTATGAAAAATGTTTAACTTTTGAAACATTAAATAAATAAAAAATATATACAAATATTAAAAACAAAAGTTTTTAACATTTGTATATATTTTAGTTTGATGAGTTTTGTTTTAGTTGCATTATATATACTTATTTTTTTGTGTTTTTGCTTTAACTAAGTATTTTTTTTATTCTCTCTTTCGTTAAAAATTTTTTTCTTTTTACAATTTTTTTTTTTAGATAAGTTTAGGTAAGTTTTTGTAGCGCATTTTTAAATTTTGAAAATATGTTAAAAGCCGTGGTCAAATCATTAAAACATATTATTTTTTATGTGGTCATATAAAGACATGAAATTACATGCCTTCCTGTGAAAGCCTAATATATATATATATATATATATATATATATATATATATATATATATATATATATATATATATATATATATATATATATATATATATATTTACTATACTATATGGAATTTATGCTGTGAAGTTTTCTGCATCTTGATATACAAATTTTATATTTATATATATATATCAAGATGCAAAAATAATATTTTCAAATATATTTTATATAAATTTTTTTACCATTAAAATAATTTTTTTTTAAATTTGAAACTTTTACCATTGAATTGTCGTTGAAATCACAAGAAGTTGTTTTCATCAAATGAGCAGACAAAGTTTTTGTACATTTTCCACTCTGTATTTCAAAAATCTTAATAGTTTCTTGAGAAGGAACAAAGACAACATCTTTTTGTAAACAGTTGGTTACAGAAAGTCGTACTGGTTGGCATAAATCATTAGCAACATTTTCATATCTTGTCTAGGTAAAAATTAAATAAACGAACAAGTAAAATTTTGATATAAAAAATTAGAGTGTGAAGACATAGTCAGTTAAACTAACACATCACAACTCTACACAACATAACAAATTATTGAACGCTAAAGTTGAAAATATAATAAAACTTAAAATTGGAATATTCTACATCATGTTTAACACCAATCATGTTATAACTAAAAAAATGCTATTATTTTATGTCAAAGTTAAATTTGTTTCTAGCAAACCAAATAAATTACTTACTTTAGCTAATGTTCCATTTGAAAAATCCCATAAACCAACAGTTTTATCTGTCGAAAGAGTTATAAGATAAAGACCACCTTGTGCAAAGCACAGACCATTCACAGCTCCATTATGTGCATCTGTTTAACATAATAGTTTCTCATGCAACTTTTGCAAAATGAATCCTTACAACAGATTACAATAAATTTTTAATACTCTGTGTGTTTTCTGTGTATCATTCATGTAAAAAACTCAGAAAATTAAAAAAATATTCTCTATAAAATGTGACGTTTTTATCATCCCATACAACATAAATACCTTTAATGCCATTTGAAAATTTCATAAGCAAGGAATTAGCTTTTCGAATATCCCACAAATATACTTCCCCTAAAACACTGTGGTGCAATAAAAAAATATATAAAAATTACATCAAACAAAACTTCTTATTCATTGTGTACAAAACAAAAACTACAATATACAAAACATCTCATTCATCATAAAAACTAAACATCTCATTTATCATGTACAATATAAAAATATAACATCTCATTTATCGCAAACTGGTTGCACTCAATAAAAAGACAAAAAATACATTAAAACACAAAATTGATAGAAACTATAACTTTTTAGCATTTTAAATTGAAAAACATTAAAAACTAAATTAAATTCTGATTTAATTTAGTTTTTTTTTTTTTTTTTTTTAAACTTAAAAACTTTGCATATGAAAGCCACAATATGATTATTTCTTCCTGGCTTTTGGTATCCAGGAGCTCATTGATTAGTATAAAGTATAATGATATTTTAGGTGTATACTTTTAAAAATTTCTATTTATCAAATATTATAAAAAATAAATACTAAAAAATAAATACTTAATAAATATCATATTATAATAATAACATTATGTATATTTTATAAATAAAAAAACACTTATTACCACCTTGTTGATACTAAAACATTTTGATTTCGAGGTGACCATTTAGTTAACAAAGAACTACTTTGATGGCCTAAATATATTTAAAAACGCAGCATTCAAAGACATTTGAATATTTAAAATAATTACGCATAAACAAAATTAAATAACAAAGTTGACAATAAATTAGTTGGTAACTTTTCTTTGTTTTATGTCAGAACCAAATATTTCAAAATTAAAAATCAATCTTTATAACTATATTTATAATGCAAGATAACAATTAACAACTTCAAAGATTGCAAATTATATGAATCAAAACAAGATAAAGGAAGTGAATTCAAAAAAACCGATGTTTGAAGAAAAAAACTAGTCAAAAAAGAATTTTTAAAGCACTTAAAAGAATGAGACTTAACTGAATGACGAGTAACATGAGAATGAATTTTAGTAGATAGCACAAGAGACACTAGCTCTTTAGAGCAGCGTCCATCATAGTATTCATAGAAAAGGAAAAGAGAAGCAACATTACCAGGATGTGACAATAGTTAAAAGTTGTCTGCAAGAGCAGGCTCAACTTTGTTTACTATGTGCTTTTGAACCTTGTCTAAAAAAGAAAAAGCGTAATTTGAAGATCTGCTTGAGATATGGCAACAGTACTCTATTCAAGGACGGATTAGAGATTTATGTAGATAAAGAATAGAATCAAGAGTAAAAAAGTGGCAAGCATGATAAAAAGATGAAACCTTAAAAGATGCTTATTTTGAAATGGATTTTCAAGAAAGAACCTGACATAAGATTTAATCCTAAAAGACAAAGGGACTCATAGAAGACTCTTCGAGTACATTACCATTTAAAAATATAGGAAGATTTGGATTATTGCAATAATTATTTTGCTGAAAAAAAGTTTTATCTGAGTTTAAGTTCCCTCTCTAAGCAATCAGAAAGTGTTGGCTTTTTATTAAGACAACAAATGGTAGTATCATCAGCGACCAATGCCACCTTAGATGTAAGAATTTCTACAATATCAGCAGGAGAACAAGAAGATTGAAATCCATATTGATGATCAGAAAATAAGTTATTAGATTCAAGATAAAAGATTAAGTGTTTTTAATTAAAGATTCAAAAACCTTGCTTATGATAGTAAGAAGACTAATGGATATCAGAGCGATCTGACTTGTCTAACTGTAGTTAGACAAGTCAGATCGCTCTCCAGAATTTATAAAAGTATGGATAACAGGTATGTTATCCAAAAACAAGACTCAGATAAACATTTGTTAAATAGTTTTGAAAGTATAGATGACTGCTCCGGAGAACTCTTCTGCAAGACTATAAGAGGTATGTTGTCCATACCACAAGCTCGTGGTATGGACAAGCAGAAAATCACTTTTTAAGAGTTCTAAGCAGGAAATCACTTTAGATACAGAAGCTGGAGTGATACGATGTCAAGCAATTGATCAACATATTTGTCTGGTATATCAGGTAGAATATTATTAGTGGAATCAAGAGATGAGATGGATATAAGTTCTTAGCAAACATTTCGCTTTGTCTTTAGGTGAGGTAACAAAATTTGAATCATGCAAGAAAGGAGAAATGATAGATTTGCCCTTATTATAGTCCCTGTTAAGGATTCTCCAGAAGTCTCTGGAGCCTAATCTTTGAGATGAAATACAAGATTACAAGACCTGAGAGTGATGAGGCTTTGGTATTAGACCATACATTTTTACAATGGTTTCTAGCAATTGTGTTCAAGACCTGTTTACAAAAAGGTTCACAAGACCTCAATGAAATCATTTAATTAAAATGATTATTTGTTTTTGATGTTTTCATTTATAATAAGAAGCATAAAAAATTTAATGACAACAATTATTGTTGACAAAACAACTGTAATTTCAACTTGATTGCATAGAAATATGTTAACTGTGTTTTTAATGATAAACTATCTATCTATTGAGCAAGTGAGAAATGTTTTGGGTAAATCACAGTTTCCAGTGATCACAGGAAACCTTATTTTTGAAAAATATGTAAATTTATGTGGTTTACAATTGTATTGCCTTTACAAATTTTTACAATTTACCTATACAACTTTGTACTGATCACTGTAATTGCTACAATGTTGCTTTTTTGGTTATAGCTTTTTTTATCATTGTTTATATTATATAATAACTGTTATAAATATTATAAATAATAAAATATTACTGAAATCTTTTCGCTGCTCACAAAAAATTACTTAAAAAACAACAAAAAATTTTAAAAAGTATAAGAAAAATTTGTTAACCCTTTTTTTTTTTTTTTTTCTTTATATTATTAAATATGATTTAAATCTTAAATATTGTTTTGTTTAATTATAAATGCAAACCACATTTAATCTATTAATTGAAAAAATCAAAGGAATCACAAAAAAGTAATATAAAAATAAATGCAAAATTCTATAGTCTACCCTACTATTACTTTTAGAGTCTACCCTACTACTACTTCTATAATCGACCCTACTACTACTTCTAGAGTCTACCCTACTACTACTTCTAGAGTCTACCCTACTACTACTTCTAGAGTCTACCCTACTACTACTTCTAGGGTCTACCCTACTACTACTTCTAGAGTCTACCCTACTAAACCATTAGACATAACACATACACATAAAATTTTGATAATAAAATAAATAGAAACTTAAAAAACCTTTTAATGTGTGAGTTTTTGATCCACTTTTTAAATCACATAAATAAAGATTGGAATCCTTAGATGTCACTAAAAAAATTACAACCATTAGATGCTAAAGTAACAACTTAGAGAACCTAAATTTAAAAAAATTATTAAAAATATATATATTGTATACACAAATATACAATAATTAAAATAGCCATATCAAAATTTTGAGTAGTAATCCAATTTGAGTCTCACTGCAAACTTTGTGTGATTATTTGTTGTCAACTAATTCTGCATGAGATTTATAATCTGTTGTAATTATTGTACAACCTGATTATAACCAATATAATAAAACAAGACAGACCATGTATACACAAAATACAAGACAGAGCATGTTTACACAAAGTAGTGTAAAAACAAGGTCTAGAAAAATTTACAAAAATACAAAACAAACAATCAAAGAAAATTAGTTTAGATAATCAAATTTTGATTAACAGTTAATAAAAATGTTTTTAATTTAGTGTTATGTTAATTTGGATTTTAATATTTATTTAATCACCAACAAGTTTCGTTCCCAGTGGGCATTGGAAATCTTGACAGATATCTAGGGAATGTCCAGCAAATTTTTTTCTTTATTCAAAAAAGTTATACATTAAATTTACACCATTATACTAAAATTTCGAGTTATTCGAGAAAATTGCTGAAAAGGGACAAAAAAATGGTTAAACTTATGAAGTTCCAGTTATCTGAGGTTTGAACCAGAGAATTTTAATAGTGATTGATTAGAGGATTTCAAGAGACCAAGTAAAACAGTTGGAAATAAAAAAAGTTCAAGTTAACTGGTGTTCAACTTACCAGGAATTAACTATAACAACTGAGAGGGACCTGAAACAATAATTGAGTAGGAATTAAAACAACAACTGAAGACATTTTTAAATAGTTATTTAACTACTAGATATTCAAATGCTAAAAATTTAACAAGACAACATATTACCAATAAAATTAAAAAAGAAAAGAAAAGAAACAAGCCTTCTCAAATTATTTATTTGCATAAGCAAATTATTTATTTGCATATTTTTGATTGCATTTTTGGAAATTTATTTATCAAAACACAAGGTAAACTATTTAAAGTAATAGAAATATAAGATAGAAATATCTAAATATTTAAAAACCTCACGAAAAGTGAAAGTAGTGAAACAATCATTGCAATGGAAAAAATATTTTATTTGTCAATGTGTAAATCCCAAATGCTTCACAAATAAACAAAAAATATAAAACACACAAAAATTAAAAAAAAAAATTTCTTAGGTGCCAACTAATGAACCCTTTTACATTTCATTAACACCTAAGAATGTCAATAAATTAACCCTTTTACATTTAACTAAAAAATAACTAAAAAAAAATATCTTATTTTAAACTTTAAAAAAATTCTTACCAGATATTAAAGCATGACTTGGTGAAATGTCAAAGTTATATGTTTTATGTTGAAATTCGAATTTGTAAGCTACCTTAGAAAAAAAAAGAAACCAAATTTCTAATGTTAAAACTTTTGTTATATTGAAAATTTTTTATAAACATAATTTGTTATTTATTAGTTTATGATTAGTTTTAGTTTACTTTTGAACTTAAATTCTTTATAAACAGTTATGTGTATGTAATGTTAAATTAATTAGTTGTTATATTGATTGTTATATTGATTTATTCAAGTAAATTATTGTGAAATTTTATTTTAAATATCTTTAAATATACAAAATCAATTATATAAAAAATATTATTAAAAATTCCACAAGAATTATGGTAAAATATTTTAATGTTACTATGTATCTAAGACCAACTTTTAGCATATATTTTTTTTCCAGGCTCAAAAATATTTTCAAGTAAAAAGACACATATTCATTCACACCTTATATATAGCTTACGTAATTATATACTCTCAAATATTAGCATTGTATTACAAACATTATATACTTTTAATAAAAAATTTAATTTTGTAATAAAATGTGAAAAAAAAGAATAAAGACAATAATAATAACAAAAACAAAAATGTAGAGTGAAAAAATAAAAAATAAAAAGTCTATAAAAAAAATTTATATAAAATATGAAATAAAAAACAAAAAAAACAATGAATGGATACATGTGTATGGATGCGTATGTTCAAATATTTGTATGTATGCTATTTTTGGAGGTGAATCTTCTTTTGGCATTAGTTTGTTGTTTTATCTGCAGCAGGGTTTTTGGTTTTTTTTTTTCAAACTGACTGCTATTACAAAGTAAAAAAAATATTCTTCCAAAATAATTAAAAATAATATTTGTTTCAAAAATACAATGTGTTATAAACAAGGATGGAAAGTTTAATTTCTAAATTTATAGTTCGTTTACCCCTAATGTTTTTTTTTTATTGCTAAAGTCTCTAACCACTTTTGGAGCTCCTGGACACTTAAGTCAAGGCATATACTGATGTTATAACCTTCCTTTTTTGCAGTTTTGAAAGTCATAAAACTCCCTGATTTAAATTATTTAATATTATTTAAATGGTAAAACTTTTTTATAGTTTTATAATGGAATTTATTTTTAGAAAAAAAATAAAAAATTTAAATAAGAATATATATTATGGATCATTTGGAAAGAAATTAGCAGGTGAATGGAATGATATCACTGAGTTTTCAAAAACTTTTTCTAAAAAAGTAATACTGTAGTGCCAGTGCAAAGTGGTACAAAGAAATAAAAACTTTATTTTAAAAGATGGCCAAGAATCATCTCAGGCATCTGTAAACTTATTGTGTGATTTTGTTAGTCCAGTTACTTCAAAATCTTTTGAAGCATCGAGCATTTCTGGTGTCTTTCAGAGGAGTTAATCTGATTCAATATCAACCCCATACAAAAAATAAAAGTTAATAGAAAACTACATATCAAGAACAAACTCAGATCAAAATGATGTATTTGAGAAATTTTGAGAAAATTTGGAAACTTTGGCAAGTTTCCAAATTTTTTTGTAACTTAACATTATGTGGAAAATTTTTTTATTTTTTATTTTTTATTTTTGACTTAATGAGACAAAACAATGTACCCTATGGTATCTTTCTAATTTAATGTTTTCTTTTCTTTAATTTATATATATATATATATATATATATATATATATATATATATATATATATATATATATATATATATATATATATATATATATATATATATATATATATATATATATATATATATATACATAGATGAGAAAACCAATACTAAAAAAAAAGAAACAAAATTGTAACGAAATATAAAATTTTAATTTTTTTTTTTTTTTTTTTTTTAATTATTCACCTCCCCAAGGCCCGTGGGGGCCACTACAGTTGAGGAGGCTACTCATTTTTAAATTATCAAAATTTAATAATTAGAAAAAGAAAATTGAAAAAAAAACTTTTTTTATAAAATTTTTACACAACTTTTTTATTCTTTTTTTAAAGGTGATTGTTACTTTTAGATACAGAATTTGATATAAGTTGAGGAAAAAAACAATATATTTATAACAATAATTTATTAATTTTATATCAACAATGGTATGTAATTGTATTTTGATATGCAATTATTCACAATTTTTAAGAAACTAATTATTTTTATTCGTTTTCATGCCTTTTAGCTTTTAAAAATGTTTTCATTATATTTGACATTTTTTTCTCAATACTTATAATATAGGAAAATCAGAAAATGAATTGCCATTTATTTATAAAATTGATTAAAAATTTTTGTAATGACTGAAGAAATTAAATAAAAGAATACCATGGTTTCTTTTATAAATGTAATTACAATATTTGTTTTTGTCTAAAGTTGTTTCCTTTATATTGCCCAATTTTCAACATTAAGACGAAATACTAGAGATAATGAACATGATTGCTCTGTTTGAATAAATGTATTTAAAAACTTAGAAAAATGTTTTAAATAGACTTCCAAAAATTTTCATTAAAAAAGTAAATTAACAATGCACTAGCTCACAAGCTTTTGGAGCATCGTTAACAAAAATTCATCAGGAATTAAATTATTGAGTTTAAATGCACAATGTGAAAGATCCAACAAAAGTGCTGACTATTTCAATGGGATAGTGAAAAGAACCAAATATTTATTATTTTACATGAAAAACTTGTTGAAAAATGAAAAAAATTAAAATTTTGAAAATAAATAGCAAATAGTTTTCTTGTTTTCCTGTATATTAATAAAAATAGTAAAGTTTAGCAAATAGCAAAAACATTTGAAAAACAAATTTTAAAATTGTCATTACTTCTAGTGCAAAAAATAAAGTATTTTCTTAATATACTGACTGAAAAAAGTCGCAAATAAACTGAATATAAAAAACGCTTTTGTTTATGTTATATTCTTAACTGCTTTATTTCTCAACTTGTATAAATTTAGTTAATGGAAAATAACTAAATTTATACAAGTAATTGTATAAATTTAATTTAAGCCCAAAAAAAGAAAAGAAAGCAAAAACAGTAAAATATTTAGTTATATTATTATTATTTTTAACAATTTTTTTTTTAATTTTAATTTTTTTTTGTTTATTTTATGGAGATTTTATTTTGTGTAGTATTCATTTCCTTTCTTTAAGTACTGCTGTTTTATTCTCTGTAGTTTCTTAGAACTTTATTTTGCTGCAAATTCTTAAAATGTCTATTACATAAAAATGTGGTCAAGTTGTCTAAACAAATTATTTTAAATGTGGACCAACAAGGCTGTTCGCACCTGACCAACAAGGTGATCGCAGGCGCTTTCCAGGAAGGCATTTCAAAATGCGCTGAAAATAAAACTAAAATTTGCAAATTTTCTAAAAAAAAAAAATCTTAAAGAAAAAACTCAAAAAACTAAAATTTGAAAAGGAAAATATAATTATAATACAAATATATTACGTTTTTTAAAATTTACTATACTATGTGAAATGCTTTGTAAATTATTAAATACATAAATTATAACATAAATACATTAAATACATTAATTATGTAATTATTAAATACATAATTAAATATGTAATAAAAATGTATAATAAAAATAAGAAGTTATTAAATACATAAATTACTATCAAAATATATTAAATACAAAAATTTATTTAATACAAAAGTTTACTTATTATTTTATTAAATAAAGTTTAAATTAATTAAAAATTAATTATAATGTTTAAGATGAAACAAATATTTAAATTATCAAAAAATATTATTCGTAATTACACATATATAACTTTGTATTTTTTTATAAATCTTTTCAAATTTTTATCGTGAAAACAAACGCTACGTAACAACTCAAATTTAATAGTGTAATAAAAAGTACTGGTTTTTATTTGTATTAAAATAACTATTATGTTAAAATTTTTATAAAATAAATTCAAAAGTGGTTTTAAAAGCTAAAATATTTGTTTGGAATTTATAAAAACCATCATACAAAAAATAAAATAAACACTAAACTATAAATTAAAATTAATAACTAACTTCAACATTTTAATATTAATGTTAAAAACCGGGCTACTTAATTCAAAAAATGTAATGCTTTGGCGTCTTTTAAATTTTGATTAATTTTTAAATTGTGATTTTTGTTGATCTTTGAGGTCATTTGCAGTCATGCCACAGACTTTATTATTTTTACCTCATTTTGGTATCAAATAATGTTTTTTTAATAAACACTGTTTTTGGAGCTTTAGATCAAACAAATCCATAATGGATACCTTAAAAGATTGGGTAAAAGAACAATTTGTTTACTAAACCAGACCAAAATGTATCAATGTATTTCAAATATAAATAAATATATATATATATATATATATATATATATATATATATATATATATATATATATATATATATATATATATATATATATATATATATATATATATATACATATACATATATATATATATATATATATATATATATATATATATATATATATATATATATATATATATATATATATATATTATTTTGAGTTATTAACTTATAACCAATAGTGAGGGAGCAGTCACTGTAGCTAACTTCTTGTGTCCACTTTTCTTCTGTTTAAAAGGATTTTTACAAGAACTCTTTATTTGAAGTAGCTTTTGAAGCTTTTCCACATGCTCTATAGTATCTTGGATAAATTGTACTACAAGCACATGAAAATTGAACTTTTTATTAAAAAAAAACTTTAAAAGAAATACGTTTCTTATTTAAAAAAATAAATATCCCACCCTTGAGTTTAAATCTAAAAACAAGAAATTCATTTCTCATTTTAAGAAATATATTTCCTACCAAGCGATTTATTTTTTTTAAACAAGAAATATACTTCTTGTTTTAAAAAACAAATTACTCTAACTATGGTCAATTTTTATAATATATGGTCGACATTTACAATTATGCTGTAAGTTCTGATGAGTTATTAGCAACTTTGAAAGATTTTAAAATTCATTGTATCCAAAAAATCTGAGGGAAACTCATCCATACTTATTTTTTTAAACTATCAAAAATTAACCTGTTGTCTGGTGAAATAT